TTTTCACTCCAATATTTACATCTTGTTAAAAGAAACAATAAATATATTCACTTGTCTGGAAATTAATCATTTTTCTCATCAGTTTAAATGTTAAATAAGAGAGAAAGCAGACTGTAGATTTGCAACTGTTCAAGAGATCAATGATCTGATCTTTGGAATCTTACTTAGCTTTAAGACAGCTATCAGGAATCTAATTTTGAGTCATTTAACAGCACTACAGAAGCAATATTTGAATCTTTTCACAGAACACAACTTTGAGATGATTTAGTCCAACCCACTAAATTCTAGATTTGCTTTATCCAATAAGTTAGAGGTGTCAAACTCAACATATCACATTGCCATCACATGACATTTCACAACATTTTCCCCATTCACAGAGCTGGAGTGGGCATGGCCTGCACATGGCACATTCAGCCAAGGGGTCACCAGTTTGACACCCTGCAATAAGTGATCTAAATAAGTTTTCCTGCTTCTTTTAATTTTCAGTATGGAGAAAATAGTAGATATCAATATCATCATGTTTTATCATTTAAGGAAAGTTTTAAATTGCAAGGACAAGTATTATAACATTCAAAATAATGGAGGTCTATGGAAATTCTCAGTCATCCAGGACAATGTCCCAAAGGTGCTTTTCCAAGAGGACTTTCTGATTTTTCTTTGAAGACTTTTCACTTCTTATTCAAGAAGCTCTAACTTAACTTCTTCACCTCTAACTAGATGGTGGATAGTGGAAGTCCTGGGACACACCCATTTGCACCATTCAGGTGACTCTGGTGACACAGATAACTTCAGGTAGTCTTAACAACTTTGCTAAAAGAATGCAAATGGCCACCTGTCTGCAAGGAGTATAAATCCTTCCACTCTCCACCATTCAGTCAGAGCTGAAGAAGCTTCTTCAATGAGAAGTGAAACATCTTCAAAGAAAAGTCTAGTTGCGTCTTGGAAAAGCACCTTTGGGACAAAATAATGGAGGCTTTTATAGATGTGGGTTTCTCAATTACGAAGATGAAAGAAATTAGTTTAATTGCCTCTTGGATTTCATTTTTGTGGGGAGAGTATTTTGTCACTTCTTATTAACATACATGCACCCACATGTATGTTAATGTTATATATTTGGAATCAATATCATAAAACATTTTGAAACATGCCTCTCCATTGTCAGAAGCAAACTTTATGCTAAAATTCTTGCTGAATCATTGGGCCTGAGAGTGGGGAGGTTAGATGTTGAAATCTGCTTTAAAAAAAATACCCAGATATTTTAAGAGGCAAATCTCTAGAGATCAAAAATTGGCCATGTTTAGACACTTCCAGTTTGAGCTTCTTCAGCGACAGACCGAAACCTCGTCTCTGCAAGGCTTCGATCCATGCTCACCGCTGGAGCGCCCCGAGCCAGCTGGTTTCGGGGCTAAGCCACCCTGTAGAGGTGGTGAAGAGGGTGAAGACTGCCAGTAGGGTTGAGGAGAGCCACATCTCTCCTCCCCAGCTGGCCATTACTCCCTTTCCCAAAGGCGGTTGCAGCAGTGGTCAGAAATGGCCACCACAAAGAAGAACTCGACCGGAAAAGAATGTGCAGGAGGAAGATAAGAAGAGAAAGCTTTGGTTGACTGGGTCAAACAGCAAAAGCAACAAAAAAGGTACCCTGGAATTGAAACTATTAAAAAATAATAACATTGTTCCCTAAGAAGATTTTTAAGCTGCGAAGGAGAGAGAAAAGGGAAAAGATTTGGTTTTCTCTTTTTCCTATACTGACAGCTAAGAGACTTAAGCAAGAAATTGGAAAAAAATCCACTTTGACATCAATAGGCATTTAATGTTGAAAATAAAAAGTCAAAGGGATAATAAAGATTTCTGGATAATTAAAAGCTTTTGAAAACAGGAAAGGAGAGAAAAAGAATAAAAGGGCAGGATCTGGAAGGGAGGAGACTGCCTGGAATTAAAAAAGAACTTACAGCAAAATCTCAACAAGATTTCCAAAAGATATATTCTAACTGAAATATTGCAACAAAAACTGCAGGAAGAGAAAGTCAAAAAAGAAATAAGATATAAAAGTACAAAGAAGATGCACAAGAAGGGAGAGGTTCTTTTGGCTTCGTATTTCAGTTTTTAGAAATGGAGATTTGGAATTATGAGAAACAACAAGAAATGCCTGCAGAACAAGAAGATTGCAACAAAGAAGAAGCCATCTTTAATGAACAAGTAATCTTAGATGGGGGAAAAAAAGGAAAGGGGAGAAAGAGAATGGAAAGTTTAAGATTGGGAAAAACAACTCCAAAAAAAATAGAGTGAAAAATAAGTATAAAATCAGAAAGCAACAGAAGAGGGAAATGCAGAAGAGAGAATTAGAACTAGAGAGACAAGGGGGTAAAAAGGGGAGGGAGAAGATGAGAGGGAAGAAAGAAAGGAAAAGAAGTTATAAAGGACAGAAGCAAAATATAGAGAAACAGGGCCTATTTAGAGATAATGGGTGAAAACTTAATGGAAAAAGAATTCTGCAAAGGTACATAAGATAGTATGGTTATGTTAGAAGCAGAAATAATTTTAGAAAATATGAAACAATGTATGATTAAAATGTCTGATAAAATAGCTATCACAATTAAGTGGAATGCTTGTCAATAAATAAATGTAACAAAAGGTATATTTAATGATTTATAAAACATATGTGAAGAGAAATAAGGGAAAAATTAATTATGGAGATTACATGTGTTTTTAAGGAAGTATGATATTTAATTGAAAAGAAGTGTTAAAGATGTTATAGTTTTAATGATTATTAATGATAGAACTGAACTGGAATGGAATGAGGGTTTATAATTACATATATTTACAATCTTTTTTTTTAAAGAATATAGTGTGTATTATAAGAATGTACCAAGCAGAATTCGATTGGAAGTTATGTATTATGTATTATATTGAAGGTCATAAACTTAAAGTATATATTGAAGTTTAAATAAGAGTTGAATGGATGTAATTAAAAGATATAAAGGTGTCATACTCCAATTAGTAACTACAGGAGAAAATTTGTTTAATGAGAAAAGATAATATGAAATTGAAACAGAACAGACGAAAGTATAAATATAATGATTTGAATTGAGATAAGATAATCAAAATAAAATTGAGAAAATTAAAAGAGGGGAAAAACTAAATATAAAATGTAAAATAATATGAGATATGGAATAGAATACAAAAAGGAGCATGAAATTGAGTTTTGTGTCTGTATAAAGAAGTTCAACCCGGGACCATGCTATTTTCAAAAAAGATGTTTTACTTGTATTTTGTGTGTGAAAACCCAAATAAACCTTTATTTAAAAAAAATTGGCCATGTTTAAATAACTTTTGTGAGGGGGGAGCAGTGTTTGGGTTTTGGTCTCTTATTGAAGTATATAAAATTTTCACAGAAACCTAGTTTTACACAGAACACCCTTTAAAAAAATCACAATGTTCTGCTAATATTGTCATAATAGGCCCTTGATAATACTTAACGTAATGATGCAAATTTTGGAAGTCTCTACAGATTTGGAGTTTTTCTTCAGTATTTCAAAGGTACTGAATGTTATGAGGACTCAAGTTGGCAACAGATAGTGGGAAGAAGGCTAAAGCACTTTGACAACTTAATGAAAATCTAATAAAATGCATAAGTTGGTAATTCAGGCAAGGTCACTGAATCTTTCCATTAAAGCAAAATGTTAGGGGAAAGGGTAGATGTCAGCAGTATGGTTCTCTTCCTTTTTAGAAATCCGAACTTGGTCTAAACAGTGTTTTATAATCTTTCAGATATAGACATTAATAATAGAAAGAAAGAAAACTTAGAATGGAAATGAATTCAAAGTCTTGGATAATGCATAAGGGAGGCTGCAAATTAGAACGGATTCCTTGTTAGGGTATCTTGTCTTCTGTCCTGTATGGGTGTTTAATGGACAAGCTGGAAAAAAGAAGGAATCAAGAAATGGTAAAATGATCACAAAGTTTACTATAGGTTGTTAATAATAATAATGTCTAAATCAATTATCTCCAATGTTATATCCTCCAGGAGTAAAACTGTAACCCTTGGAATTTACAGATGGTATGCTTTGTAATGTGAAATTATATGCTTTAAAGTCAGGTGGCAAAAACATTGGGTCTATTGAGTAAAATTTAATTTTATTTATTCTCTTTGGTTATATTGCTTATAAATGATACTCCACTATTTGCTCTTTTTTTTAAACTGAGTAGTCGTTATTCCAAGTTGTATAATGATTAAGGTATGGAAAGGTACAGGCTCTAGTCCAGGGCTGTCAAACTCCAGGCCCGTGGGCTGGAGGCCATGGCCACACCTGGTTTAGCAAAGAGGGGGGAGTCCCATTACGTCACATGCCGCCTCTGTGACAATGTGAGTTTGACACCCCTGCTCTAATCCTTAACCATGACATGTACCTTAAGTGAATTTGGATAATCCTCCTCTCTCTGCCTAATTTAATGTCTCGGTATTATTGTGGGGGAAAATAGGAGAAGAATCAGTGGTGTAATCGGCTACATTCATAATTGGAAATAAACCTGGTTCTGATCTGTCCTTTTACTGAACTGTAAGAGCTAATAGTGGAGCTACTAAATAATTTTCACATATCAATTACTGAAAGCAGATTTAAAGGCACTTAGAAAGGTAGCTCTTTAATTCATGACATGTCAGTTTCATTTTGTAGATATTTATATAGTTCTGTTCCCTTGTTGTTACAATACTAACAATTGTTGAAGCATCATGAAATGGAATTGCCATCCGTTTGACTTGTAAAACTTTAGCCTTAGGTGCTTGTAAATATTAATTTAGTGCATTTGTGTGCACAGCAGTAAAAATATCTTAATGGAATACCCTAGGAAAATCTCTATAAATAGCGTATACCTTGAGGGAGGGAGTCACCAATTTGATCAGTATTTTATCTTTCAAGAGAGGGGGGGAAGTCATCTTCCCACAGGCAAGAGTTTTAACATTACTAAAAAGAGTTTGCTCTCTGTTTTTATTTATTTTACAGACAAGGAGCCCAAAGCTTTCTCAAAGTCCACAGCCCAGCTTGGGAGATCCAGCTGAATATTTGTCAGAGGTATCTGTTGACTCCTCAGAAGTCATGTCAGAAGCAGAAGCCCTGTCTCCTTTTTCAAGGGGAAGCCGTACTCGAGCAAGTCTTCCAGTTGTGAGGACAACAAATCAAACAAAAGAAAGATCTCTTGGTAAGACATTGCCCACAGGAAACTGTTTAAGGTTGTGCTTTACGATTTCCTCAAGTAGCTCTGAGTATAAAACTCTGTGGTACTAGTTTATGTATCTGATATATAATGAACAAGAGACAGATACAAATATACTTAAGGGGAGTTTTAATCTTTGAGGCATCACTTTGATGAACATTTCCTCACTCCAAGAGAGAAAGTTCTTCTGAGACCAGAGGCAACGTTCTTCTGAGATCAGCTGAGCATCTTCTGCATGTAGAAAATTAATAGTGTGGAAAATCGAATATTGTTATAAAATGTTTCAGGAAACATGCCAATTTGGTCATTATGGAAGTGACTGCTACTTTCTTGGAAGTAAATTATCCAGAACAGGAAGTAGTTTATATTTTCCAGATATAGTTTGGATGTTCTAGATATAGTTTGACTCTATTAAAATCCTTCAATTTAATCAAGCTATATGAACTCAGCTTTCCAGTTATCTCTCCCTAAAAAGAAGTAAATTCTTCTTTAAAGTATTTTTTTTATTTTCTATGCAAATATAAAAAAACGGGAGAGTCCAAATCAAAAACTTAATGTTGTTGTTTATTAAAATGAATCTTACACACACACACACACACACACACACACACACACACACACACACACACGACAAGTTTTGCAGTTATGATGTTACCCTTTAACTCAGTAAGAAAACAGTGGAAAAATAAAGATAAAATTGTATGTGCAATGCAAATGTTTAGGATCCTCAAAGATGAAAGTTTACAATATGTAAATATAGAAAGAGAAAGATGTTCTTCAAATATTGGCTATCCTTCAAATAATGTATTTTTATTTATTCATAAAACTGTGCAATATCCATTTTTTCCTTCCTGTTAACTTTCCAAACCATTGATAACATTGAATATCTACAAGTAAATGTTCCAGAATAGAATTACTGTATGAAATATCTTCTCTGTAAAAGGGAAACTGTCTAACACCAAGCCACGTATTATGAATCAATATTGCATGTTGAATACCACATCTCCAAATAACTAAACTTTTAAACTTCTATTGGGAAAGAATTATAGGTGGCCAGTAGGCCTGAAATTAAAAGCTTTTTTTGGTCAAAACTAACTTAATGTTAAATTTATACCCAAGTGATACATAGATTCTGAAATGATGTTTCATTGACATTGTTTTGCACTTTGGTAAATTCCATGTCTCTGTATTGTATTGAACGTTCATTGTTGCATATTCTAATAATTCCATAAATTTAAACAACTGCAATGATTTGCCTAACAATCATGGCAAAAAAAGGTCATAAAACCGGGCTTGACTCTCTTAATAACCACCAAATGAAATTCTGTTCTTAATTGTGCTCATAAATAAAGAACTTCCTACAAATGTAAAAAAGTATTGTGGATGGATTGCAGGGAGAAGGTCTCTATGCTGTTTAGATACAGGCTAAATCTGCTTCAAGCTGCAGGATAGAGAGCAAACTTGTAATTTATTTTGAACATGCATTTATTGCCAGAGAAAGGAGAGACATTTGTCAGACGTTCTGATGCAGGTCACTGAGCTTCATGCCCCATGAGTTACAGAAGTATCCTTTCTTTTTTTAGAGAAGACTTGTTGAGCCAGGAACTTCATCAGTCCTCAGCTCGGGTCATTCCGTTTGCTTTGAACCCAGAGTATCTTGAAAGTTAATTAGTTTGGAATCAATCTTTATTAGTTACTCAAGGACGAGGCAAAATACTATCATAATATACAATCAGGGTGTTTTCTATATAAGGCAGTGAATTGCTGAGACAGGCAAAAGGTTATTATCATAATGATGCTCCTGTCCAGCAGGATCCCAGCTTCCAATGTGCAGAGTAGGATAAAATTAGATGTGTGGGTCATTAATCACAGAGTTGCTCATAAATTCTGAATGTAGTGGTTTATTTATTATACTAACAATCCTGGGCCATTTTTTTCCAAGACCGCTTTGATATCTGATATATAACAGACTTTCTTAACAGTCCAGAAAAATTGTAATTCAAACACTTAACTGATTTCTCCAAAGCCAAGGCCAGACTAAGAATAAAAATGGCTGTTCTTCCATATATTTTGAAGTAATTAATCCACTTTACAAACTTTAGTTATTATATTAGCCTTTTCATGCCTGGGACCTTTCCGATGTGCTAGACTAGCTGGGAATTATGATTGCCAGAGTCTAATATATCTGAAGGAATACAAACAGAAGGATACTGAAAGCAGAGTTTGCAAGTTTGGAATCAGTTTTCTGAATGGCCTCACACCTTCTTATATAGAATAATTCTGTGGCAGTTGGCCTTCTCACGCTAGGATTGCATATTACAGAAAAGATATGTGCAGCCATTTAGAACCTGATGATTAAATAACCTGATGGATCTATGATCAGATATAAAATTAAGATAATTAATCCTAGTTTAGACTTGTTTTGATCCATGAACAACAGAACACTTTGAATACAGGTCTCGACTAATGACCATTTTTCTAATGACTGTACGAAGTTATAAGGCTGAATGAATGATGATTATGACTGATGCCTGGAGTTACAGCTGTCCCAGCATCACATGGTCATGTAATTGCAACCTAGGTGTTTGGCAATCTATTCACACTTATGACTAGTTGAGAAGCACTCCATGATCATCTGGTCACCATTTATTATCTTTCCTGTCAGTTTCCCCCAAAAATCAGAGCAGTAAATCTCTTCCACCTTTGCACCTTCCCCAGCCCTCTGAACATGTATCATGTTAGCCAGTCAAGCATTGTCTCACACACAGAGAGAGACTTTTGTGTTATCTCTCACACACCCTTCATATCTCTCACACATCCCTGTGCAACCTCCTTGACTTACATGGCACTTCTCACACATCCTCATACATTTTTCTTGACCCACCCTTGAACCCTGTGTACTCCCTCACTCTGTCCCCCACCCAGCACCAACCACTTACCTACCTCTTGCCTGGGACTTTCAACTTCCTCCCGGCTTCCCCACTGTCTTTGGTCCACCAATTGTGGAATTCAGTTAATGTCAGCAACTGGGATTTCTGTTGTTTAGTGAGATACTCATGTGATACAATCACATTACTTAGCAACAGAAATTCTTACGAAGTTCCAATTGTAGTCATAAGATGATGACGACTTGTAAAAACAAATGGACAAATTTGTATGTATGCAGAATTTTGTTAATTGTGCATTCTAATGCCAGTACTTGTAATTAAATTCAAATGGAATACCAATTCTTTGATTCAGTGTGTTATAAATAATGCCTATGTCATATTCAGAAGCTGATAGAACTGTGAAGATGTTGGTTTCATCACTGGCTGAATTATGGACTTTACTTTTATAAACTCTGAATGTTATCTTCATATTTCAAAGGTTTATTATTAGACTTACATTCCAGTACGCTAATTTAACTCTGACGTGTTTTGGGCTTTCCTGCCAATTCTATTCAATGGCTCTTTCCATAATTGTTTTAAATCTACCTTGACAATATTATTGCTTCATGATATACATGTTATTAAAAAAAATTAATTGGACCCTTGGTTTCACAATTGGGTGTAATAATGAGACAGCGCTGACTACTGCACTTATTGATGATCTCTGGAGAGATCAATATAGTAATGGTTTGTCCAATCCAGCCCCCATTAATCTCTCTATGGCTTTAATTATAAAAAAATATCCTTATAACTAGCCAAGAGGATTGAGAATATGGGCATAGTATTGTGCTGGTTCTCTGTCCTCTGAAGACAATTTCATTTGATATCGGGCCTCTGAAGATATTGGGAGAGAAGAGTCTCAATTCTGTCCCAAATGTTTTTTAACTTCAACATGAAGCTGCTGGATAAGATCATTTGGGGCCATAGAGTTAAGTGTCATCAACATTCTAATAATATTCATATATATATATCTACAGTATTATCTCTAATACATCAAGTGAGGTTGTCAAGGTTCCTTCTCTGTGTCTGGAGACTATGAGGTCTGGAAAATGGAAGCACAGATTTCAACTTAACTCTAGCATAATCAGGTGGCTGTGGATTTTAAGGCACTCCTGATCTGTGGATACCGCACCATTAGTTGTAGATAAAATAACATTTGTCTGGATAGAACTGATACACCGTCTGTGGACTCTTAGCATTTTTAGGGGTCCTGCACTTTTGGCTTCTGCTCAAGCAGCAAGTGTGGCCAGGAAAGTCTTTGCACAAATCTGTCTTATGCTCCAATTGCTTTTGTTCTTGGAGTGAGAAACTTTTTGCTGAAGGTTACTCATACCTTGGGTCAATTCCTGCTTAGATTTCTGCAATGAATTCTATTTCAACATGCCCTTTAAGATCTTTCAAATGTTCAGAATCCAGTAGCATAATTACATGCACATCATTCTAATTCATTGTAACACTACTTTTCCTTAGTTAATTGGCTCCCAATTAAGGTGCAATTTACCTATAAAGCCTTTCTTGATATAAAACCAGTTATTTGCTGGACTACCCATCTCTGATTATTTTTGTTTGTTTGACAGACTTCAATGAGAATGGGCATACTCTGGGCCCCTTTCTACTAAACACTATCATCTGGTGGGACCCAGAGGATGTTCTTTCTTTGTTGTGGTGCTTACCATGTGTAATAGCGTATCCTATTGGGGCCATTAGGATAGCCCAAACCCAATTGGCCTTGTACAAGGCATTGACAACATGGATTTTTCTTTGGGTTTTGGAGTAGGATGATGGGTGAGCCTGCCTTTAGAGGCATTGGTTTGAATGAATGATTGTTGGTGGTGTTTAAACTGTGTTTTTTTTTGTATTCCTAATTTTAATTGTTTTAATTTTAATTGTATTAGCTACCCAAAGTGTTACATGAGAGGGGCAGCCATACGAAATTTATTAATGAATCTCTCTCTTCTATCCAGTTATAGAAATTAATATGATAAAAACTTTCTTAATATAACAACCAGCAGTCAAAATTAAATTTCTCATTTGTGTTATTTATTCATTGATATTTAT